TCAGGAAGGGTCTGGTTAACTTTAGATACAACATCATTAGCCCATTCAGTGAAGTTAGGAGGAACAAAGCTGCCAGCAATAGCTCCAGTAGTAGCTGTACTACTGGTACTGGTAGCATCTTTAGCAGACAATTGCACCAGTAAGAAGCAAAGTATTACCACCAGTAGCAATACTATGAGACACAGCAGTCCAGCAATAACAACCAATGGTGTACTCCATGTTAACTGCTTTGATACTTTATTCTGTATTGCCACTTCTGTTGATGGAGCACCAGCACCATGATCCCTCCTTGCATTATTAATATTCGTATTAAGCGTCTCATAATGACACTCCTGACTCTGTACTGGAGCTAATGACATGTATGACATGTCCTCGTATTTTTCCATTCCTTCCATTGCTATTTCCACTTAATTCAAACAGTTCCAAGAAGCTGCTATTCTTTACATTTATATAGTGTTGCAGTAATGATATTTAGTAGATACATGATATCATTGAAATGATAGATAAGATCTGCTAATCTAATTTATTAAATAATCTGTGAGTATAAACTATGCACTTTTGAATGGATGAGTGACAAACTCTGCTATGGATCATGTGTCAATAACTCATTCCAATAGCTGAACTGTGTACTTGTTAGTAGGAAATGGTATATACATCAGTAAAAACACTGTTGTCTGTGCTATGGATCATGTGTCAGTAACACATTTCAATAGCTGAACTGTGTACTTGTTAGTAGGAAATGGTATATACATCAGTAAAAACACTGTTGTTTGTGCTATATAGAAAGTCATTTATAATTTTATATTCATCATGCATTTTTTCTTTTTTTGTTTTACCAGGCGGAAGAGTTTGATGGCTCAATGTTTCCAGTGGTAGCTCTAAAAAGTGTCCGACTCTCTGACTTCAATGGAGTCTCACTGTCTGCTCTTGCATCATCAACGATACTCACAAACCCTGATCTACCTGAGGCCCATCAACTCAAAGGATGGTAAGAGAAAGAGGGAAGGAAGAATAAAGGAAATGATATAGCAATAGATTTTAAGAAGAGCATATTACTGTGTATTACATATGTACATACTTGCATTATCCCTTTTTTACGTATAGGTATGATCATCATGGTAAAGATCAGGATGTTACAAGTCTGTCCTCTCGTAATGCAACTGGTAGCTTTTCTGACAGTGCTTTCTTAACTTTTAGACAAGTACTAGTATATTTTAATGCTAATATTATTTTATGTATGCCTTATCTCTTCCTTTCTTATTTTCTCTATCTTCAGATTAAGGAGCTTAATCAGTTAGGTCAGCAGGAAAAGCCAGACTACTTCAGTTGCAAAGGAATGATTGTTTACCTTAAAAAAGAGAACTGTCTCTATACGGTACTGACTGAATAATGATATTAAAAATTATACAATTCTCTGTTTATTAACTTTAGGCTTGTCCAAGTCAGGATTGCAACAAGAAAGTCAATGATGATGGAACTGGAAACTATTTCTGTGAGAAATGCGGTAAAAGCTACCCATCTTTCAAATACAGAATGATCATGAAGGTTTGCTTGGGCACATTTACTTTTAAAACTATTTCTTTTTCTATTAGTTGAATTGTGTGGACTATTTGGATAATTGCTGGCTGGATACGTTTCACGAGGGAGGGTCGGCCATTGTGGGAATGGACGGGCAGAAATTGGGAGAATTGAGGGAACAAGTAATGAGAAGAGAAAGGGAGAGAAGGAAGAGGAATAGAAATTGTTATAATCCTATTGCAAAAAATCGTTTATTATAATTATTATTTTATTTTTATTAATTCATTTTTAGGATGCAGCTCAGTTTGATAACATCATGCAAGAAGCTTACTTCAAGGAATTCATTTTTAGGGTCAGGGCCAAAGTAGACACTTATAATGTAAGTATGCTAGAATTTACTGAAGTATACTATATATATAATGTGTACATTGTATGTATTGAAGGTATTATCTGTAGTATACAAAAATATACCAAGTTGTAAAAGAATATTTTTATGCTGCTATTTTTACTGCTTGTAGGATGAGCAGAGGTTGAGGTGTTCATGCGTGTCAGTGCAACCGGTCAATTATGCAACTGAAACTAAAAGATTGATTAAGATGATAAAAGAGTTGTCCGTTTGAGGAGAAGGAAGGATTGGTTCCAAGACTGTTACTTATGTTAAACTTTCATATTTAATCTCACGATTATAAGAATAAGAAAAATGAACTAAATAGAGCGTCCAACTAAAGCTATTATACTCCAAGTGGCAGCAATTTTTATCAATCCCCCATGCTTGCAGCAGAAAAAAATAACGTTCAAAAATGTCTTTCATTACAAAATTAGTAATAAAATAAATATTTATTTAAATATTTTCTTCACCAATACATTAAAATCCAAATGGCTGACAATAAATTACACAATAAAAGGGAGCTACCAATCAATAATATGACATTACTAATCTTTGTTCTATAAGCATTCTCAGGCATCAGATACTCTAACAGTGCAATGAGAGTCCAATGACCATCCAAAGCATAAGCTGGTATTATATTGAGGACTGCCAGAGCTCCAGATATTGATGCTATATATATACACAGTGTATGTAATGAACCAGGGAGCCATAGAGGGACTGAAGAATGGGAAGGATGATAGTCTGATAGTATGATGCTGTGTTTGAGCTGTTCTAGACCCCCCAGGTATAATATCGGGTCCCCCAGGCTCGTGTGGCGTATTTTTATTAGGTAGGTCTGGCTCCCGATTGCTGGAGTGACACAGAGGGAGTTTGATTGGATAGCGGAGCAGTCGTCATTGGTTACGCATGTCCCGTCCGTGACGATGCTCCTCGCTCGCAAGCAAGTAAAACGATTTTCGGGATTGACTTGATTTCTTTTACGAAACGAGAGAAAGAAACAAAGATGGCTGTCCTTTTTATCAAGACTACAACAGTCCCTTCCTCCCTCTTCCTCCTCTTTCGTCTCGTTTAGTGGGTGGAGCTTATATTGAGACAGGAAATCCTCAGAAACGCAGTAACCTTTTTGTGAATGGCTTCCGACACCCTCTAAACAAGAACCCCAATCAGCAACGTACGATAGAGGACATGCGTTTACTTGAATCAGTGAAGTACCTGGACTTAGTTTCTGCTCGAGGGCACTCCCTTTGACCACGCCTAAAACAATTGCCCCATGACCTGTAGTGTAGAATGGCATGAGAAGATACGGGAACGAATACAGGAACAGAACTGCCACTCCCACTAAAATGACGTTATGCCACACCCCTGCACAATAAATCCTCATTTGTCTCAAAGGCGATATGACCGTTAGGTGGTCAGAATGTAAATCAACAAACGCTCCCGGATATAAAAACAGGATAAACAGGCCAAACCCGTTTATACGTACATGCTCCACTACGGCAGCAAGGGCGTGTCCGGCCTCATGCACAACACCACATATCAGTAACGTCAGGAAATAATGCGCTAGTTGATTCCAGGGTAGATTAACCCCTGGCATAATAGGTGTTAGTATCTGTCCCCCTCTCTCCTTCTCTCCTCCTCCACTTCCTCCAAATAGCGACTGGTATAGAGACAATGAGAGTATGAACAGTGATACTAGCATTAGAAATAGTGCTACTATGACCCCAGTGTTGAACCAAGCCCGGGCTATTTTACGATGACAGCACAGCCCACAAGTCTTGAAACTTCCGTTAAAGATCTTTGTGTAGCAACGCATGTATGCAAATGTAGTACGTAGCCCAAGTCTCTCCTGACATTGCATGTATCTGAGGTTTAGTGGGTCGTATATTTGTAGCAGCTTGTGAATGGCAAATATGACAGACCAGTAGGCGATTACTACTGCAAGCGTGTGAGTTAGAGGAGACATGGCGAGAGTAGGGAGAAAAGGGAAGGGTTGACTTTAAATCTATAAATGTGAAAATTGGTGATTTGTTATCATTTTTATCATTTTCCCTTACCTTTTTGCTTAAAAATTACTCTGACTCCATTATTGATTCTGCATTAATTAATTTTTATTGAGCCTAGTGCACTGAAATAGAATCCGTAATTTTCCGTTGCACGTTTACCAAGAATGTCCGGAAATAAACGGTATCTCGCCTTCAAAAGGTGGAGCTGTCTCCTCTTGTTTTGAAATGTTTTTCATTGTTTATTTTGGAGGTAAACAAAACATGATACTTGAGCTATGGATTATATTTTTGTCTTAGCAAACGAGGAGGAGATTTTTAATCCAGAATGTCCCGTGAGAATACTCTTAGAAGATGTTAAAAATCGTTGCAATTGCACAGACAAAGGCAAGCAAGAACTCATCTTTTCTGCTTCTTTTCATAGTTAAACTCACTAAACAGATAGTATAGGGTTTCTCGACGACAAGAGGGTGCTGGTGAACATTGCTGATGAGAAATCGATGGAAAATGCTGCAAAATACTTCACTGATAGAGGAGTGTACACTCTCCTTGCTATTGAAAGTAATTAAATCTTCTGGAATCATAATTACTGGCATTAAGTACTGACATTGCTGATCTGTATGGTTAGGATTAAGTTAATCAATAATTTATTCAGCTTGTACTATCAAAAATGTAATGACAATAAAATTAATAATGGTTTTTTGGATAGATGGATGGGATCATGGACCATGGGCATGGTATTTTTCCGAAATTTGGAGTTTTTAAAAAATGGTCATAACTTGAAAAATTGAAGTCGGAATTGGCTCAAACTTTCTACGTAGCATAAGGGCATCAATATGTATCAGAAAATCTAATAAAAATTGGAGGTAATTTCGGAGCCATTTTTTGGAAAAAACCATGGGCTATAGTACAGGGGATTTATCTGAAATTTACAGTTTTAAAAAAGTGGTCATAACTCGAAAAATTGAAGTCGGAATCAGCTCAAACTTTCTACATAGCATAAGTACATCAATATGTATCAGAAACTGTAATAAAAATTTGGGGTGATTTCGGAGCCATTTTTTGGAAAAAACCATGGGCTATAGTACAGGGTATTTTTCCGAAATTTGGAGTTTTTAAAAAATGGCCATAACCTGAAAAATTGCAGTTGGAATCAGCTCAAACTTGCTACACAGCATAAGGACATCAATATGTATCAAAAAATGTAATAAAAATTGGGGGTGATTTCGGAGCCATTTTTTGGAAAAAACCATGGGCTATAGTACAGGGTATTTTTCCAAAATTTGGAGTTAAAAAAGGCAAAAAAATTGAAGTCAGGATCTGTTCAAATGTGTCACTTTAACATACTGTTTTTTTTAATTTACACTTCGTAGTTTTGATTTAAACCTATCAGACCCCTTACATTTACATGGAATGTCCTCAAGCTACAACTTATTATCATGAATCTTAATTTTATTTTAAAAGGACGTGGAGATGCAACAACTTATGTTCCACTTGTTGATGAACCAAGCAAAGAGCTATTAGGTATTTAAGTATTTATGAAATACTTGAATTTTATTATTAATTAATGTTGTTTTTGCAGTTAAAATAGAGTCATTGCAGTCTGTTGGTTCTAAAAATCCCAAATCTCAAAGACGAGGTTCAAGGACTCCTCAGTCAATGATGAAACCCCCTAATCAGATGAGTGCATCAAAAGGGAGACAAAGAAAATGGCCGCCAAGTTAAAACTCAGATAAATCGAGCATGTTATATCACTTGTTATCATAATAATTATAATTATTATTATAATAATTAAAATTATATTACACAGCACTTTATTAGTACCTGCAATGCAGGAAAAAAAAACATTTTACATCAAATGAAAGACTACATGTATACAGCTATTATTTTAGTAATAATAATAATGTTCAAAAATTGTGTAAATTTAATACAAAATTATGCTTTAGTCTGAAGTAGTTGGCTGAATGTTGAAGCACATGCAGGATCGAATAATAGCGTCAGGAAGAACCTCAATTTCGGCAATGATACTTTTGAATTCCTCTGTTGAGTTGCTGCTGTAAAAGCTCAAAAATGTAACTGAATCAAAGGTTCTGGGTATGCAGCAATTGTTTGCTGCTGGTACCTTTTCAGTCATGTACCTGTAATACGTCTTCAAGTTAGAGTGAGAGTTGTACGATAAACTGCAGCTACCTCTGCATTCTCCTATGTTGATCACATCTGGGACTGTTCCTATATTCAGTATGGAAGACAAGCTGACCTCAAGATCATGAACAGGGCATTCGGACGGTTTCTCTTCCGCAGTGTCGTTTTTGTTTGTAGAAATGCCTCGAGCTTCCCTGTACATTTGCTGCATGTCTACAGAGGAGAGTTCCCGGGTTATCACGCGGGATTCAGGCTGGCTCGGGGTGCGTGGGCGTCGTCCGCTAGCAATTTCCTCTGCGGTAAAATCAATTACAAGAAATGGGATTCTTGTTGAATTTTCTATCCCAGACAGCTCTTTGCAGACTTCCAGGATGTCTGACGTCCATCCTCCTTCTTCTGTCCGTGAGCGTTTTTTGATATGAATCACTTCAACTATCATCTTCCCAGTCATTTCGTTTCTCAATTGCAACTGCTTTATGAGCTTGTGCAATGGAATAGTGACATCTATACTAAGGCAAGACTGGGTTTCTTTGTCCCAGAGTAGACTAAACCTTTTCCTCTTCTCACCTTTCATAGATGGGGTGGTAATGGCAACAAGGAGACCGATTTCTAGAGTTTTTGCATGATCTTTCGTGTCATTTCTGGCTGTCGGAAAAAGCCAGAGATGTGCGGCTTTAAAGAATTTTACTTGATCTAAATTTTGTGGCTGGAAATCAAACTCTAATTCTATCCTATTCCTTTCTGTGACATTAAAGTGACCAGAGTCTGTCAAACCTTGAGAAAATAAAAAAGAAAATAAAAATGAAAATAACGAACACGTCTTGTATTACTATAGCATCAAAATTCATACTAAGAACAATTCATTGATGTTTTATACCTTGGATGCTTGTAGGCTCCATTGTAGTAGCAACCTTATCCCTCCCATTGACAGAGTAAGGGTAATCAAGGTGAGAAGATCCCTGCAGCCTTTCTTCTACCCTTCTTCTGGTGATTTCCATGAAAGCATAGCTTGGATTGTTCCTGTTCTCTGACAGCGCTGATAAGCACCCAGAGATAAGGAGGAAAGTAAATAGAGAGACTGCTATCGACATTGTGTTCGATCTAATTGGTGTTTTGACCTCTGTTTGCAGTTTGCTTCTTGTATTCAGAGCTACCAAACACCTCCTTTTTATAGCCAGGTGCTACTGAGCTGCGTGGGCGTGCTCGAGGCGGCTGGGTAATGTGCGCATGCGCAAGACTCTCAAAATGGCGGGTAATGACATTGAAAAGAGTAAGAAAACAAGAGAAAGGCTTAGGGTTTGTCTATAAGCGCCATTACAAATTAAATAACTAGGATCTATAGGCACTAGAGTGTCCTTACATAGAAGGGCTCGATGAACATATGACACACGCCTTGCTCGTATCCAATGGCGAAGCAAGACTTAGACTTATTGAATGGCTTCTGGAAAAGTTAATCAATTGTCATAGTCTCTTATAAAATGTCTTGTTTATAGGTATCAACCACAAATACTCTTACGTCAGTTGTCAGCGTCTTTAGTTTCTTCCACGAGCCCTCGGTTAACAAGTAAGATACATGTATATATATTGATTTACTTTAAATTTTATCACCTCATCAAATTTGAGGTTAAAATATTAAATTAAGATGCATCATGTAACCACTTTATCATGTAACTCGATTCTCTCTCTCCCCTTTTCTCCAGAGCTAAGTCTTATTTTGTCTGACATGTGTCTGTGTTTACCACACGAAACTGACCTAATTAAAGTAGGTTTTTTGGTTGGTATCAAGTGTCATATCAAATTTCGACCTAACTTGCATGTACATGCATTTTCCATGCTATTGTTACTATGGGATTGTTCATTATAATTAGTTTTGGTTGTGTGGTGCCTATATAATCAACTTTGGCTGTCAGTTGTACTGACTTTGTGGGTCTGGCATGTCTGAAATTTCTCTCCCTCTCTTCTCTCTCTCTCTCTCTCAATTTCCCCTGCTCCTTCTCCTCCATTTTTTGTCTGTCTATGTTTGTATTGATTAATAATTGAGCTAATCATATCATATAATTATTTAATTATGCTAAGTTCCCCTTTGTGTTCAAAGGATTTTCTTTCCTTTTCGATTTCTACTTCTTTATATTTTCCTGCTCTCTCTTCCTCTCTCTCTCTTTCTCTCTTCAATCTTGACCTTTCTCTCCTTTAGCTAGCTATAGCCATGCTTCTTCTCTCTTTATTACATTTCATACTTACATTCATTATGATGTGTCTTTCATTGTCTTCTGCTTGTACCCTGTTCTTGTCTTGTTCGTATTCAATACTCTCCCCTCAATGGCTCATAATAGGAGCTACATGATACCCCATATTGTTCTTCAGTGGCCAACAACATTCATTGATCTATAATATACAAGTGTTGACTTTGTGCTTCTCTGTATTATTATCATCATTATTGTGTATTGTAGTATAGCATCATCATCAGAATTATTATTATCATCATTATTATTAAGTATTTTCACCTAGGCATTGAAATTACCGGTAGTTATATTTTTATATCGTAATCCCTCTTTTATCATGTTGTTCTACACAACATGCAATTTATGTAAAACTTTCTACACTTGCTATACTGATTACTGATACAGTAAATACTTGCATATGAATGGTCTAATGAACAACATGTACATGTACATGTACATATGGACTAGAGTACATAATACCTAATATGGGCAAGAGTACATAATACCCAATAAATACATAACATATTACCTTTAAGTATTATGTACTCTTGATACCAGGGAATCCATGTTGCATGTACATGTACATGTGGATCTTTTGTGTGTTTTCTTATTTCTCTCAATACATTTGTGTATATAGTAGCTACATAGCCCTTTATATTCCCAGCCTCATGTAACAAAGTACACAACCACTGCTACAATGTATGGAGGAAGCACTGATGACCATTCACTGAGTATGTTCATGTTGTCTATATTCTTGTGGGTCTCTGATCTTATCATGTTTGTGATGACATGGTTACCTCTCTGTCCCTTTGGGTCTCAGGAGTGGGCGGATTGTGGTCATGTAGACATTGTCTGGTTGCTTGTTTCCCTTTATTAGGTGAAGCCTTTCTCCTCAGATCCATTCACACTCAGTCTGACTGTATATACGCATATCCTCATGATTTATTTTATGCAGAAATTGATATAATACGGATATGACACATGTTAATTCACATGTTAAGGCGAACCTCTTGATATTTTATGTGTATAATCTACAAGTATAGTCTTCTATGCTTTATTGTGCTCTGTGTGTATTTGCTTCAAAATTTTGTCAAAGGCTGTGGGCTATAATTTAATTTATTTTCAAATTTTCATACTACTATTGTTGCATTCTTATTATAATTATTTATTAATGATTTATTATTATTATTATTATCATTATTATTATTATTATTATTATTATTATTATTATTATTATTTATTGCTATTATTTATTCCTAGGGAACTTGTGCGGAGAGAAAATCCTTGAGGTTTTTGGATTCTCTCATTGAGCTGGTTCATATTTCCTGCCAAATGAGATCTCCCCATTTTGATACTTCACTTAGTTTTGAGAACTCAACAGTAGCAACAAGTACAACCAAGTAAGATAATAATAATAATAATAATAATAATAAACTAATGATTAATAATAATGAGGATTAAGATGATTAATAATACTAATATGGTTGATATTTTAAGCTTTGCAAATGCAATCACCATCACTACTATCAATAGTACATATTATCATAATACTTTTAAGTATTATGTTGCAAAAATAGAACCAGTTCTATTTTGCGCTTCACCATTGCATTATACAGCACTTCCTGTCACAACATAAGAATTCTGAGCCTAGCTTTACATGCACGCTCTCTCTCTTTCACATAAATGTTACATGAAGTTATAATAATCTAGCTATTGTCTAGCCCATTAGTTAATGTACTTAACATTGTGTACTCTTGATCATAATTATTTCCAAAGACTAAATACAATCCTGATAAGCAGATGGTCCATGGCAGTTGAAGACAGACAGACATCAATTATTTAGCATTCTGGCTGTGAGAAATACATTACCATAACCACCAGTCATCACAATAATGATTCTAACCATCATGTACATGTATATATACATGTATATACATGTATATATACATGTATATATACATGTATACATGTATTACTGCGTTATTGCGGTGATTTTGTTGCCACAGCAACCCCCAATGAGGTGATAAAAGTTTGAAGACACCTGGGGGTAGCCTGGTCCAGGTGAGCAGGTGCTGTATCCTTTTGATGCTAATTGTTTTAATTAATGTTGAAAAAATGAGTTGAATTCCATTGCTTAATGATGATTGCACTATATCTTTGCAACAAGAGTAAAATTGGAAATCTGCCTTACTTACTTTTAAACAGCTACTTAGTTGTTGTCCTCAATAATAAATTACCCACTTAATAAAATAAACCTACTAAAGCCTCTGTTGCAAGGATTATGCAATCTCCTGTAATGATGGAATTGGTTTTTGGTCAATGTATTGATCTAAAGTATATGATAGTGTATTCATTATACTTTGTGTTGTACTGGTGGGTGTTATGAGGAAGAATGAAGTCAAAGTTACAAGGAGATTATGTCATTTAAAGCTGACCACTTCATTCAATCTTTCAGTGTGTAGCAATTAAAAAATAATAAATTTAGGATACTAAAATTCACTTATGCTATATTGTAATACTTCCTGTCCTATTCTTTGTGAAAGCTATAGTAGTATTGTCTGGATTGCCACCTGTAGATATTCCCTCCTAAACCTTGTAAGTATAGAATTCTTTTTAAACTCAATTATTTGCTAACGAGGATGCTGGTACAATCCTTCAAAGAAGTGATGAAGCCTCTCTCTGTCCCTCTTCTACTTTTATGAGTTAGCCAGCAACCAGCTAAGCTCTGCTCCAGTCTTTTAATTAGCCTTGGATGATGACCACAAGTGATTGAATGGTGGCCTGCTCTGCTAACAACCTGTTGTTGTAATTGTGGCTCTATATACACACAGATGCACATGTTCTGAATATTGCCTAAAGGCCACCATAAACCATGAAACTTTGTTTTATGAAACATATCTTTTATACAGGAGTCAATGGAATTTGAATTATGTTTCATGAAATTGAAAAATTTTTTAACTTCATGAAACATGTTTATTAACTCCTGTATAGAAGATGTTTCATGAAGCTAATGCTTTAGCTTCAGTTTTCTATATGAACTTTAGATATGTAGAAATGGTTATTATCTCTATCATTATTATTAGTATAATAAAGTTAATGTGAATCAGTATAGTGTAGTTAATTGCCTACAAATTAGTCATTTATCAATTAAAAATAATTACCAGTATAATTACCACCTAAGTGTTGGTGATGTCCAGTGGTTTGTGGCCGCTGGGTGTCTCTGAGAAAGAACGTGAGATTAAAGGAAGTGCATAACGAGTTTTTAATATCTTAATATGAGCACTTGCAGTCTTCTAAGTGAGGTATAGCCATTAGCAAGTGGTGATAGTTTTACCAAGGGGTGTCATTAGAATAATACCTTTCATCTTCTTTTGATGACTGTTTCTTGCCACTGCTTGCTGTACTCTAGAGCCCATATCTTCATTTATGAAATTTTAGTCTTGTGGTGTGTCGAAATTCATTTTTATTTTTACCTCAGGCACAATCCCTGTATGCATGTATGTATATGCATTTTTATAATGTGGTTAAGGTCCTTCCTTATTGTTAGAGGCCTGCTACTATATTGTATGGCCAGGAAATGCTTTACTTATCATTAATGAGGGACCTTTGACTTTGAAGGCTCTTAACAGGCAATAACTTGCACCTGACCTGCACTGATGAACCTGACTCTACTACTGAAACCCTAGCTGCTACTACAGGATTGCATCACCATGCACTACATGTAGTTAATATTAAGTGTACATGTACATTATGGGTGATATTGTGTGTGCTTTTTGTGATTGCCTTGCAGCTGCTTTCTTTGTGTTTATGATATCCAATTAGGTCATTGTGTGTCTCTTGACTTCAAAGAGTTTGCTCTTCTTTCTCTCTCTCTCTTAATGTTTTAATTGATTCTATTGTGGGTTGTTCTCAAAGGCTAGCGAGCTGTAGTGTGCCCTACTACTTGTGGCAGCGTGGTTTGGGCTCCTGTTGTGGCAATGGGGAAGACCCAAGTCTTTTTGTTGTGTGTGTGTGTGTACGTGTAATAACTAAGTAGAGTAAGTGGCCTTTGAGAGAGAAAGAGAGGGAGAGAGAGACAAAGAAAGTTTTTAATTATTAAAGAGGTTTTAAAATTGGTTTGTTAATTATATGATTATTTAAGAGGTTTTTTTTTAATTATTTAATTTTTCTTTTAGGGTATCTGAGGAAATGAATCGCAGGTGCTATTTTATTGATAGTCTCTGTCGTCATGGTAATTTGGGTCTAACAAACCCTGCTCCCATTTCGCTCATTCCGGCAACCATTGGTCACATGATCAAGACTGATGGGTCTAAGAAAAGGTGAGCCCCTAGTGATTGTAGTAGTTATAGTTCTTACATGTTTGGTCATTTGAAATAATTTCCAACTTCTGTAAAATACCCTGTACTATAGCCCATGGTTTTTTTCTAAAAAATGGCTCCAAAATCACCCCCAATTTTTATTACAGTTTCTAATACATATTGATGCCCTTATGCTATGTAGAAAGTTTGAGCCAATTCCGACTTCAATTTTTCGAGTTACGGCCATTTTAAGGAAATATCAAAATTTGAAAAAATGCCCTGTACTATAGCCCATGGTTTTTTCCAAAAAATGGCTCCAAAATCACTCCCAATTTTTATTACAGTTTCTAATACATATTGATGCCCTTATGCTATGTAGAAAGTTTGAGCCAATTCCAACTTCAATTTTTCGAGTTACGGCCATTTTAAGGAAATATCAAAATTTGAAAAAATGCTCTGTACTATAGCCCATGGTTTTTTCAAAAATTGGCTCTGAAATCAATCCCAATTTTTATTACATTTTCTGATACATATTGATGTCCTTATGCTATGTAGAAAGTTTGAGCAGATTCTGACTTTAATTTTTAAAGTTATGGCCATTTTATAGAAATGCCAAAATTCTGAAAAATACCCTGTACTATAGCCCATGGTTTTTTCAAAAATTGGCTCTGAAATCACCCCCAATTTTTATTACATTTTCTGATACATATTGATGATTTAAATCAATATTTTTGAGTCCTTGTCACTAATAATGATGATAATAATAATAATAATTAATATTATTACCATTACTGATAGGACTCTTCCTTCTTTGAGCGAATTGTGTTCAAAAATTGATAATTTAAGAGAAGAATTGTTAGAGAAAGAACTTCAAGTCAAAGAGACAGAGAAAGAGGTAAGAAGACCGAGAAGTGGATCTAGAAGACACTAAAATGATTCCTTTTGTATATTTATTATCAAATCAATTATAAATAAATTAATGGTATCAATTGTAATATGATAAGCTTCTGTTTTGTCTTCCTTCCTTCCTGTCTTTCTCTCTTTTTTATCTTTTCTCTCCTCTCTCTGTCTCTGTCTCTCCCTCCCTCCCTCCCTCTTTCTCCCTCCCTCTCTCTTTCTCCCTCCCTCCCTCTCTCTCTCTTTCTCCCTCCCTCCCTCTCTCTCTCTCCCTCCCTCTCTCTCTCTCCCTCCCTCCCCCCCTCTCTCTCTCTCTCCTTCTCCCTCCCTCTCTCTCTCTCCTTCTTTCTCTTCAATGTCTTCCATTAGCATGTGTATGCTCCTATTGATAAAGGTAATCTTATAGCATGTCTACAATCACTCCAAGTCTCATTCTCAACTCTAAATCAACTCATTGATGATTTCTCATACCAGTACCAATCAGATATCAGTCAGTGGACTGATTCTAAAATCAAAAAAATGAATGCATTCTCTGATCTCGGCCCTTTGGCTGAAAGACTTCATTCGCATTTATCAACCATCAACCAGGTACTGCTAACACACACATACATGCATGTATATATACTTCATTTATCATTTTGTATTCAATTCTTAGTTGTTGGAAGGCATTTCAAGACTAGAGTCTGTTACTGGAGCTTTGATAGAATTAGGAGAAAGAGAACCAGAGAATAGCAAAAGTAAGTTGTCACTAATAAAATCATAATGGCATGATCTTTATATTAATAATACTGTAGAAGATAATTTATTGGTGAGAGTAATATTTGGTGAATTTTCCTGTGGAAAGTTAATGGCGAGTTTTATATTGGCGATTTTGTGCCACGTGCCATTGAGCATGCTCAGATTGAAACAAAATGGCGGATTTTATATTGGCAATTTCTTTATAGAACCGCCAATTACCAATATTAGTTCCTTGCCAATAAATCATCTGGTATGGTAATACTTATTATTTTATCATTTTAAAGGTAAACCCATCTCTGATAAAGCACATGAAATCTTCCAAAAACAAATAGACAAAGATGAGTGGACTTATTCTAACAGATAAATAATGATAATTATTATGTCTATTAGTTTTATTAAGTTCATTTTCAGACTATCAAACTTGATTTCAATTTAATTTTAAAACCTGTACAATGTATTCCATTAATAATAATAATAATAGTTACAAAACACACAAAAAGAAAAGAGAATAATAATAATAACAATTAATCATTATTAAGAATAATAAAAGGAAAAAAAGAGAACTGATTTTAAATTATTATTAATCATCATCATTGAGAGATGTAAGGGTTCGAAAAAATGACAAAAAATACACAAAATTATTGGTTCATTACACGGCCGATCCATCGGGCGGTATCTCTCCAATCTCATCCTCAACTTCTTCCAGAATATTCTCAATTTCGGGAGTATTCTCACGGGTGCTGGGCTTGGAACTGGATCTAGACCTACACCTGTAGGAAGACACAATGAGTACTAGACAGCACTGTATAATAATAGTAATAATTATAGTCTTTTATACATGTACGTGTACATGGTTCTGCCTAATAAATGAGAGGTGGTTGGTGACTAATATTGTTCCTTTTAAATTTATGTACACCATACTAGTAGACTACAATATCATGCTTTATGTATGGCTATTAGTATTAATTGGATGGTTGGTCTAAGTGATGAACTGGTTGGTTCATTTGTTGAGGTGGTTGCCCCAACCACCATAGGCAGAACTATACATGTATATATGGTGAATAAAAATTCCAATATGAACTATAGGATAATAAACTTTTCTCACCACTGCACGCCTAGCAATGATATCATTTGTTAGCTACCACGTTGTGGTATAGCTGCAGGGTTTCCCACAAAGGATGCTCCCTGAGCCAAATAGTATACATGTACATATTTCATGAACTGATAAGGACTGGACTGTAGTACATGGCTTTTAAAAATTTGTTAAAAATCAAATCTTGATCGGAATCACCTCAAACTTGATGTACAACATTAGAACATGTATATGTATCAGAAAAATTACAAAAATGGAGGTTTCTCTCCTTTTTATTTTTTGATGAAATTTGGCTGAAGACCCAAGGCTATAGCCTTGGGTCATTGGTCCATTTTTGAAGCAACTTCAAAAATTCGTAAAAAATCCAATCTTGATGGGAATCAGCTCAAACTTGATATACAACATTAGAACATGTATGTGTATTAGGAAAAATTTATAAAAATGAAGGATTCTCTCCTTTTCATTTTTGATGAAATTTGGCTGAAGACCCAAGACACACATGAGCAAGTATTAAGAGTATATTATTATTACCTTTTTCCTCCTCCTCCTCCTCCTCCTGCTGAAGCTGTTGAGAGGAAAGCATCAGATAAATCAGTGACAGACGAGAGAGAAGAAGTAGAGGGCATCCTGTCCATTCCATCAGCTGGAGATATCTCTTGTATAAGAGCTTCAATATACCTCTGATAAAAGGCAGCCCTCTGAGTGTGCTCCAGCGAAGCATTCTAGGATACCTCAGGATAACTCAGTAAACTAAGCAAAGGCGTGGCTTACCTTAGGGAAAGGTCTGAAGAATTCCGTGACGCCTCCAAAACCAACGTCAGTGATGTAGGAGGGTTTTATGAGCGAGGAAGTGGAGGAGGTGACCACGGCATTACGGATTAGTTTCTGGACAGCTTTTATAATGTCAGAGTTCTCACTCGTTCTTAGGGTCTCAGATAAGTGGGGCGTTAAATAGAGTTGTCTATAAAATAAATAACATTAAATATTGTGTGTGTGTGTGTGTGTGTGTGTGGCGTACATAAGAGGAAAGATGTCGACAAAGACATTGCTTGCATCAGCTAAAAACTCGTACAGCAATTGAACTCGTTTTTGACTTTGAGTTTGTAAGAGGGCAGATGCCTAAAGAGAGAAAGAGAGAGAGAGAGAGAGAGGGGGGGGAGAAAGAGAGAGAGAAAGGGAGAGAGAGAGGGAGAGAGAGAAAGGGAGAAAGGAAAAAGAAAAAGGAGAGCAAGAGAGAGAGAGAGAGAGAACAACAGGGACAAGGTCAAAGGAAGACAAACAGAAAATTGGTAAAAAAGCTCTTTCTCGCCAAACCACTTACCAATAAGTGAAGGAAGAGTATCTGAGACTTGTGGGTTGCTATTATGTGAGTGTTAAGTAGCGGAGTGTAGGAGAACGGCTTCTGAGTACTGACTTGTCCCTCACTCGCACTTCTTGATGGTATGTACGTCATGAGTCTTGTCCTGTTGTCTTGTAGCTGCTGTCTCACTATATCACTCTCTGGAAAGAGTGCAGTCAGGTAAGCCAGATTGTGCTCATTCACTTGGAAAGTATCGCTAGAGAGAGAAAAGTAAATAAAATTAATACTTATTATGTAGATTTCTTGCACGCATACCTGTCATGAGGCGAATGAAGGAAGAACAGTGTAGTTAGTAGTTCCTGGGTCCTAGTCCTTACTGTTGATAATGAATGAGAGAATCCTGAAGAGAAGAAGAGACATGATTAAATTAAAGTATTACATGTAAGCAAGAGTATACATCAGATATTTTTGGATATTGCTAAGTTAACTCTTGATGTAATATATTGCAGATCTAGTGATAAATTGTATTTAGGACTGGAAGGATTTAAACTGGCTATAGAATGACAGCTTTAATAGTTAGCATGACCAATGATCAAACAGAAATCATCCCGGGGGGGGCAGTATGACTTGTACAGTAGCAGAGCTGGTTCTGTTAGGCCCAGAATGACTTGGTTCACTTTCGTGGCTCATCTCCATAGTCTAATAGGTTAACACTTACTAGTTCGACTTACCTTTAAACAACAGAGTGGAGAGTGCAAAATTGAAATCACTGTCAAATGATATCCCAACCTCTCTGTCAAGATGATTCAGCTGCCATAGCAAAGACTCTCTTGCTGGATGAACAACATCAGCTAGTGACTAGAGAAGGAAGAGAAAGAGGAGAGAGAGAGAGAGAGAGAGAGAGAGAGAGAGAGAGAGAGAGAGAGAGAGAGAGAGGTGGGTGTATATAGTCTACCCAATAATAATGTAATTACATTTTTAGCTAATTCTCCATAATTAGTGAAAGCTTTGATGCAGCCCTCAATAAGGCCCAGGGTAGCAGCATAGAGTGTTGGATCTTCAAGCTAAGATTGAAAGAAAAAAACAAAAACAATTAATAATAATTATAATTATCACAATCATATAAGAGAATGATCATGATCATGCAATGACAATCAAAAGTAGGAAGCACAGTACATCTACTAACTAGCCATTGTTATGGTGTAGATTTAACTTTTGGAGACCAATCTAACCAAGAATAGGATACTTAAGTACATCTACATGTAGGCTAAATATGAGAGACCAAAAGCTGAATTATAAGAGAACTAGACCAAATATGGAAGACTGAAAGTCTCCTAAATTCTCTCTAGATCTAACAGTGTAGAAGACCTCTCCCCCTCTCCCTTTAATACTCTCTTCCATATGTCTCTTTCTCCCTTTCTCCCCCTCTCTCTCCCTCCCTTTCTCTCTTAGTAAAAGTACTGATTAGAAGCAGGCCTAATATTATTATGCAACAGAAAGTAAGAAGAAGCACATGTGAGTCTTGGCGTGGTAGTCAATACAAACGTAGTAACCTAACACCAGAGTTGCTATGTGCCACCAGGCAATAGTATACATATGCACACACAAAGATTGATAAACAAGGAATCGTGGTAAGGCAAGTCGGCAAAAGTGGGAACCCTTAAAAACTAAAGAGCTAATCCAAAGTGCCGACAAGTAGCCACCTGCTAGTTGTTTCTGAGAACAAAGACCATACAGGGTAACGTGTGGTGGGTCTATATGGAGTGTTAATGGGGCTTAGCTAATACACTGTAATACATACTGGGAGGGTAGTCGTATGTAAGATAAAGGAGAAATATTAATAGAAACAGCCGCTGCTTGCAGCCCACATTAAATAAATAATAATAATAATAAAAGAAATAATAGCAATAATGTGGTAGTAGGGTGTATTGATAATGTTATGGTGAATTAATGTGTGGGTTTTTGTTACCTGTAGGACACCAATTGCCACCCAGAACAAGTGATGAGTTAGCTTTGATGTCTGTGGAAAAGAAGAGAGGGAGGGAGGGACAATTAGAGATAAAGATTGTAATAAATATAATGATTTTAGTGTAGGCTTTTGTTTTTCCTCTCATAATAATAATAATAATAATAATATTAATAATAATAATAATAATAATAATAATAATAATAATAATAATAATAATAATAATAATAATGTACATTTCAAATAGTAAAAATTAGCTGATCAAAAAGCCCTAGCTTAAGCTGATTCACTACACAAAGATTGAACTGTACATGAGCTAAAACAATAAAAGTATTAATTCAGTAACTATACAGGTACATGCATTATCATTATTATACATTAATATACTTACATGGTCCAGTAAAGGTATCATTCTAGTCAAGCAGGTTACTATAGACTCAAGGAGTGATATATTCTCCTGGTGCTGGAGCACAGACTATAAATATATTTCTAGTTAAAGAGGAGCTATGATGGTGGTGAGGTCTTACTTCTTCCATGACTTTAAGAGTACGAGTGATGACGTGAGATGAAGCATGACTGCTGATGACACCTAACATTAGGAAGGATCGAGTCTGGAGGGAGGGATTGGGAGAAAAGGCAGACCTGGATAGGAGAGAGAAAGAGGGAGAGAAAGAGAGGGAGAAAGAGAGAGAGGGGGAGGGAGGGAGAGGGACAGAAAGAGAAAGATAGAGAGAGAGAAAAGAGAGAGAAAGAGGAACAAAGAAAAGAGATAGGAAGACAGGAGAAAAAAAGGAAAGAAGGAGAAAGATTAGATCTATACAGTACATACATGCCCTCCCTTCCTTACCTCCTAGCTAGTTTCTGCCACCTCAAATGCCACTCCACATCAGGGTACACGGTCCGGATCGAGCCCATTACATCATGAAGGTGCTCCACCACTGCCAGTATAGTGTTAGTGCTCAGTGGGTCCTTGGTATAATCTGATGACTGCATGGACTGATGGTGTGCCTGAGGATTGTGTATATGGACACCTTCTATAGCTGTCTTTGCATTATGGAGACCTGTAGAGGGGAGAGGGAGAAGGAGAGAAGGGTATAGAGGTACATGTATAATTTAAAAGAGATATCAAAGAGAGAGAGAGAGAGAGAGAGAGAGAGAGAGAGAGAGAGAGAGAGAGAGAGAGAGAGAGAGAGAGAGAGGGAGAGAGGAGGGATGAGGGATAGAAAGTTGGAGAGAAGGAAAGAGGATTTCGACTCTCACCAAACTGCATATAGATGGATGGCTGAGAGAATTCTACTAACTTCAAAGTGACAACCTTCATAACATCAGCTGAAATAAATAAAGCAAATAGTCACATTTAGAATATAAAATATACATTAAAAATAATAATAGTATATTTTTAAAATTATAAATACCGTGTTCAGCAATATGCTTTATGGTGAGTAAGGAGTGAAGAGTGTTTATGATCAGACCGTGAATAGCAGCTTTAGTAGTAATGGTACCGTGACCAATCATAATGATAGATATATAGAATAGATCAGGAAGATGAGAGATAACTGTAGAGAAAGAGAGAATATAATATAATAATTAAAATAATATCAGACAAATAAATGTATCACATAAACATAAGCACATTGAATGTAAGCATAGGCATTTTTAAAATGGTCATAATTCAAAAAATTGAAGTCGGAATTGGCTCAAACTTTTTATGTAGCATAAGTACATCAATATGTATCAGAAAATGTAATAAAAATTGGGGGTGATTTCGGAGCCATTTTTTGGAAAAATCCATGGGCTATAGTACAGGGCATTTTTCCAAGATTTGGAGTTTTTAAAAAATTATCATAACTCAAAAATTTGAAGTCGGAATTGACTCAAACTTTCTACATAGCATAAAGACATTAATATGTATAAGAAAGTGTAATAAAAATTGGTGATCAATTTGGAGCCATTTTTCGGAAACAACCATAATTTGCAATCAAAATTGGCTCAAACTTCCAACAGGTGTACAGATACTTGCATACATTAATGGTACATACCATTTAGATAATTATTAAATGATAAATTGACCAGAAACTGTGAGAGTACAGCCAGCTCCACCCACAAGTAATGCTGCTCCAGTGTATTGGTAGGTTTCTCATTCGTAGCCATTAGTGTCTTTAACATTCTCTTCACTACAGTCTGGGACACAATCCCTCCATGATGTCTTGAGAGAGTGACTGTTGTATCAGATAGGACTTTAACTTTTAGACTAGCAGGCCCATCTGATATACAAGCCTATTCAATAGGATATGATGTAGAGAGAAACAGTCTTACAGCAAAAGAGAATGCAACAAAATTTAAGATTAAAGTATTTAATATTTTTAAAATACAGATATACATTTACACATACATGTACAATGTATAAAATGATTTTTAATAATAATTATTAATTACATGCTTACTCTAATAAAACTATCAAGTACTGAACGAAGCAGGTCAGGTTCTGAGCTAATCCTACACCAAACATGCTCTTGAATGAGTGGGTACATCTAATGAAAGAGGAATGACAAAGAAAAAAAACAAAGAAAAGTATTATTAGAGGCACTGTATCATGCAAATTAAGTATAGGAAAAAAGAAAAATAAAAGACGAGACAGGAAAATAGAGAGAGAGGGGGGAGAGGGAAAGAGAGAGAGAAAGAGAGGGAGGGAGAGAGAGAGAGAAGTCTCTTCAACTCACCTCTACTTCAGAGATACTAAGAGATACGAGAAGATCAAATATTTTAACAAGTTTTTCTTGCTCTGCCCGGCTGGTCTCATTCCTCACCACATAATGCGAGAGGTTAGGCATCCAGGGGCTGAGATACGCCAGACACAACTGCTTGCAAGCAGTTGAGTAACGCTGGAACCCTGCAACCACTTCGGAGAGGAACTACAGTGTACATGCATGGAGAAAGAGAAGGAATATGACCAAAAAGCAATAGGATTCAACTACTGTACAGTGGGTGATTTTTGAGGGCTAAAATTTTTGCAAATCAGTCAAAAATAAAGTGTGAACTGTAATAAATTTGCTATTGATGCACATAATTTCTTAGGAAATGCAAATTTGTGACAGTTAAAGCCACAAAAAATTTACTCAGGAATATGAAGAGGATGCCACATGATGTCAAATGATGTAATACCAACCTCAAGAGTAAGGTGAGCTTCCTTGACAGCTAACTGCTGACTGATGTCAAGAACAAACTGAGAACATGTATGAGGGATGCACAACTCTGAGAGAAAGAGATAAAAAATAGAAAGAAATAAAATGATATATTACTTCATGACATATACATGTAATGCAATAATTTTTAATAAAAATTAATTAGCAGGACCTCATTTCCTGTTTCATAATTCATTTTTAATAAAAATTAATTAGCAGCACCTCATTTCCTGATTTCATAATTCATTTTTAATAAAAGTTAATTAGCAGCACCTCATTTCCTGTTTCATAATTCATTTTTAATAAAAGTTAATTAGCAGCATCTCATTTCCTGTTTCATAATTCATTTTTAATAAAAGTTAATTAGCAGCACCTCATTTCCTGTTTCATAATTCATTTTTAATAAAAGTTAATTAGCAGCACCTCATTTCCTGTTTCATAATTCATTTTTAATAAAAGTTAATTAGCAGCACCTCATTTCCTGTTTCATAATTCATTTTTAATAAAAGTTAATTAGCAGCACCTCATTTCCTGTTTCATAATTCATTTTTAATAAAAGTTAATTAGCAGCACTTCATTTCCTGTTTCATAATTCATTTTTAATAAAAGTTAATTAGCAGCACCTCATTTCCTGTTTCATAATTCATTTTTAATAAAAGTTAATTAGCAGCACCTCATTTCCTGTTTCATAATTCATTTTTAATAAAAGTTAATTAGCAGCACCTCATTTCCTGTTTCATAATTCATTTTTAATAAAAGTTAATTAGCAGCACCTCATTTCCTGTTTCATAATTCATTTTTAATAAAAGTTAATTAGCAGCATCTCATTTCCTGTTTCATAATTCATTTTTAATAAAAGTTAATTAGCAGCATCTCATTTCCTGTTTCATAATTCATTTTTAATAAAAGTTAATTAGCAGCATCTCATTTCCTGTTTCATAATTCATTTTTAATAAAAATTAATTAGCAACACCTCATTTCCTGTTTCATAATTCATTTTTAATATCATATTAAGATATTATATACAGTCAAACCTGCTATTGTGGACAGTTTAAAATAAGGACACCTCTATAATCAGGACAGGTAGTGTCAGTCCCAATACAATAGTAATGTGTATTAATGAGCCTCTAAAATAAGGACACCTCTTTAATAAGGACAGTTTTATTGGGTCCCAAGGTGTCCGGAATAGACAGGTTTGACTGTATTCTAATTGTACATGAATGCACATGTACATACCATGTGAGTCATCAAGTGCATATTCAATTTGTAGTTTAAATGCATCCTTCACTGCACACAGCAGCTTGTATGCTGCCACTCTTAATCTCGGTTCAGAGGATCCTAAGTTAAGGAAGGCAAGGTTGAGAAAAGTCCCTGGAACATCTTTAGGCTCAAGCTTCCTCTCGTTAAGATAACGACTCTAAGAGACAGAGAAACAAGATGAGGTAAGTAGCAAAGTATATGAGAAAATTCATGACTATTATCAAATAAAAGCCTGTCTCAAGTAGAAGCACTAAATGCATTATTTGATAAAATACCCCAGACTTTATTGGCCCGATTTTTAAGCAACTTAAAAATTTGTAAAAACTTCAATTTTGATCAAAATTTGCTCATAAATTAGTTTCCACACAACATAAGAACATGTACATGTACGTCAGATGGTGACCCACTGGTTGCTGGCTGTGCCATCTCGTGATGGCACTTTGAAGGTCTTTCACGATAACCTCAGCCGAAGGAGAGGAGAGACGAACTATCTGACCTTCATCAACAAGACGAACAACTAAAGCATTCTTGCTTTCAGATAATACCTAGATAATACAGAACATGACACGGTACATTTATAATAATGTTGTATTGTTATGTACATGTACATGTACTTATAAATATATATTCCAGGGAGACAGCAGTGTGGTGAGGGTACTAGTATTATTTGATTTATTTTGTACGTGAATGTACATGTACATGTAAGTTCACGTACATGTACATGTACATGCACTCATAAATGTACATATTCCAGGGAGACAGCAGGGAAAATAACAGGGTTATATGAGCTGGTATTATTGTACATATATACATGTACATGTATGTGAATGTTAGTACATGCATACATGTACATGTGTACAGTTTATTCTTACTTCTCTTATGTCAGAGATGTGATGCATTTCCTTGAGATAAGCAGGATGATCAAACAAGACGGTCTTCTCAACTGCAGTCACTACAAACCCACACTGATGGACGGATATCCTAGCAGGATACCTAATGGAGGACGAGTGAGTCTTTATCACTAAGTGATGTCCTATGTAATCCTAAAGAAAGAGAGAGAGGGAGAGAGAGAGAGAAGAGAAATAGAATGTACATTATTACATAAATTAATAAAGAAAGAGGGTCAGGAGTACTATGTGTTTTGTTATCAAATTTTCAAAAGGAAGATATGTACAATTCGTGTGCAAATAGAAAGAGTGCTTCAATCATTATTTATTACTATTATTCTTAAGAAGAGAGAGAGAGAGAGAGAAGTAGGCAGAGAATTAAGATATAAAGAGAGGATCAAGATTCATGCGTGTTATAATGGTGTACATGTACTTCATTATATTTACTTTTCCTTCTTGTTCAAATTCTACAGTTGCAGCTGGGAGGTGAAGCTCCTTTGGCTCCACGTACTCATGAAACCGAGAAACACTATCAACTAGTATCATCTTCTTAGAACCCTGAGGAAGAAAAGAAAGGATCTCTTAAAATACTAACACATGAAGGGAAAACAAAAAAACAAAAAAAAACAGTAAAAGGAGAGATAGAAAAGAAGACAAAAATCTTTTGTTATATACATGTAAGTAAGAAAAGCTAGACACATTAAAAGGAGAAATGGAAACATCTTTATACCTTAATGTGAGAGAATATCCTCACAGCAGATGAGAGATTGGCAATGTAAGACCTGAAGGCCATGTTCGGATTGTAAAAGTAAATGGCCTCAATCTGTGACATCATTATCTCAGGAACATAAGCAGCAAATTTGATAAGGAGCTCCAACTAGTGGGGAGGGGAGATAAAGCCAATGTTTCACATCCAAAATTAAGATAAAATTTATAAGTTTAGTCAGGGATAATTAACCCCATTCAAAAATTTTCCTAAATACTTTAATCAATTTCTCACATTATTATTGCTATGATACTAATAAGTGGGTGTTATCACTCTTGAAAAGTGGTAAGGTTGAAACAGGACCAACCTGTACCGGTGACTATGGGCCTGTGTAGGCATCCACTTTAAGCACAAGAAGCTTTAAATGTCTCACATGATTAAAATTTTATATAAAAATGGGACAATTGTCCCTCCAAAAATTACAATATTAGTATTTCTATCCAACCTTCTACTTGCCATTAACTAATATACCAGCTCATTTTTATACACTAATATTTGAAAAAGGTCTCATGGGTTGCCTGACAATGTGGTTAACCACCTGTACTTATATAAACTGTAGACTGAGTCATGAATCTCATTATTTTCAATTGGAGGAATTCATAACTCTTTCTTTCCCTCACTCCCTCACCCCTCTCTTTCTCTCTCTCTCTCTCTCTCTCTCTCTCTCTCTCTCTCCCTCTCTCTCTCTCCCTCTCTCTCTCTCCCTCTCTCTCTCTCCCTCTCTCTCTCTCTCTCTCTCTCTCTCTCCCTCTCTCTCTCTCTCCCTCTCTCTCTCTCCCTCTCTCTCTCTCCCTCTCTCTCTCTCCCTCTCTCTCTCTCCCTCTCTCTCTCTCCCTCTCTCTCTCTCTCTCTCTCTCTCTTCTC